TTAGTAATTACAGTATATATTTATTGTACATATTACAGGCAGTATGTTATAATTGAATGTTTTTTTATTTAATTTTAAGTAATTTGTTGATTATTTAAAGTATTACTGCATAATGTGCACATTAACAAATAGATAGATAGGAACAAACTGCCATAGCTAATTATGATATGAACAGGGACAGACAGAATGAAAGAGAGTGAGAGACAAATAGATATGAAGAGAACGATATTAAATTTCCTATATATATATATTTATTAAATACCTTTTTATGTTTAACGTTCTTTTTATAGATACAAGTATTTTAAGTAAAAGCTCTGTTTATAATAGACAGTATTAAATAACATTTACCGGCCTGAATGTCCGAGAAATTTTCATAGAAAATATTCGTCCTTTGACAGGATTCGAGCCTGCATCCTATACGGAACCGTCATTTACGCTGACGTGCCTTGACCGCTCGGCCACAAAGGATCGTTCGGTTGGCAAGGTTGAATTTACTGCTTCATGGAAGATTGAAGTTTATGTATATATATATATAGAGAGAGAGAGAGAGAGAGAGAGACAGAGAGAGACAGAGAGAGAGAGACAGAGAGAGAAGGCAAGAGAATTAATAGAAATATAAAGTTTGTAATTTAGCTGATTGTTATTACTTTCAGCATCTCAACTCCAGGGTTCCGTAAACTTAACCACCTAAGTGTTTGAGTCGTGTTTAGTAAGATAGAAAAGCATAACATTTACACTGTATTGGGCTTAGTCTGAAAGGCGTTGAGCACTGCATGAAAAAAATCAAGTTTAGCTTGCATTTAACTGTATTATACTTCAGTTGAATGATTAACACAAACACACACACGCACACACGCACATGTGTGTGTGTACACACTGAGATAGATAGATAGATCAGAATAGAATGAGATAGATAGATCAGAATAGAATGAGATAGATAGATAGATAGATAGATAGATAGATAGATAGATAGATAGATAGATAGATAGAGAGATCAGAATAGAATGAGATAGATAGATCAGAATAGAATGAGATAGATAGATCAGAATAGAATGAGATAGATAGATAGATAGATAGATAGATCAGAATAGAATGAGATAGATGGATCAGAATAGAATGAGATAGATAGAAAGATCAAAATAGAATGAGATAGATAGATAGATAGATAGATAGATAGATAGATAGATAGATAGATAGATAGATAGATAGATTTTTCCATATAATTTAAAATTTCCTATTTCCTTGAAAGCTTATTCTGAATGCGATTTCTATTTTATTCTCTTTCACTTTCCTTTTTTTTTCTTTTTTTTTTTCTCAGACAGTGAAGCAATCCCTTTCGGTAAATAATCAACTTTCTGGTCGTGACGTGGAAACATAGTTGCACGAAAAATCCAAGTTACATTCACCATATATGTACACAGTACGTATGTGGGCGCGCACACAACAATGTATGCAATGCGTATATGCACATGGATAAAAGTAGACAACCAGATACACACTCTCATCCGTTAATATAAAACTCACGTTTTATATCAGGACTAATCCACGCATGCGCGTTCTATGAACGTATGTGTTGAAATGTTTAGTATGATGAGAACAAATGAATTAAAGATTAGAAAAAGATTTCGGTTTAGAGAATTTATCTCGTTTTCTATCGATTCTTCTTCCTTTTTTGTCGTGAATAATTCAAACGAAAATTAAAGATGAGATGCAAATAGAAAGGGAAGAGGATAAAAGGCAGGGTATTAAAAAGTGAATGCGGGAAAGGTCGTAAAAAGTTGCAAGTAAAATTGACAAAAGAAAGAAAGAAAGAAATAAAGAAAACAAAGAGAAACAAAGAGAAACAGAGAAAGACAGAGAAACAGAGAAAGACAGAGAAAGAGAAACAAAGAAAGACAAAGGAAGAAAGAGAGAGAAAGAAAGTGAGACAAAGAAAAAGAAAGAAAGACAAAGGAAGGAAGAGAGAGAAAGAAAGTGAGACAAAGAAAAAGAAAGAAAGACAAAGGAAGAAAGAGAGAGAAAGAAAGTGAGACAAAGAAAAAGAAAGAAAGACAAAGGAAGGAAGAGAGAGAAAGAAAGTGAGACAAAGAAAAAGAAAGAAAGAAAGAAAGAAAGAAAGAAAGAAAGAAAGAATATGAGGGAATATAAAGAAAGAAAGAAAGAAAGAAAGAAAGAAAGAAGATAATTAGCAGCAGAAAAAAGGAAAAAGTAGTAAAAATGGAAGAAAAGTATAGACAGAAATCAACGGGGAGAGATAATAGACCAAAGTTTAGAAAGTATTTTAAAGGTCACAGAAATAAAATTACAAAAAAAAAAAAATGAAAAAAAATTGAAAGGAGATAAAATGATTCTGTTTTTAAAGATTCATTTAGATTACGATTTCAAGTCTGTTTTATATCGGCCATTTTCTTTTTCGTTTTTTTAATATATGATAGAAATCATAAAACCCTTATTTCTTATCACGCTTTCTACAAAATCAAAAAGACCAAACTGTCGACTGTTAAACCCAAATGCGTTCTGTGCTGACAAAATCTTACTGAAGTGTGGTTGATCACAGTATGAAAAGCAATGTAATATTTTGTTTGAAATGTCTTTTTATCTATAATCCCGGAAGAATAATATTTCATTAGCAATGAGGTCGCCTATATAACAGCACTGATTTCAAGCCTCATTTTATCAACTTTCTTTTATCGTATGCGCTATCACCGCTGCAAGAGAAGAAATTTATAAAACTCGCCGGCAATATTTTTCTCGTCTTAGAAAACTTTGCAGAAAGACAGATAGCTAAAAAAAAAAAAAAAAAAAACTCGAAGAATGTAAAAGAAAATGTCGGTACTACTGTAGCGATTTTCCAAGTGTAGCTGCGGCACAAGCCGAAAGTAGGGAGCACCCAGTGAGGATCGAACTCACTACACATTCGTAATTGTTCTAGCGAGACAACCTTGCTAACCATGACACCGCCTCGATGTGCCCAAGGATTTTGCAAACGTAACTTAGATGTGGCACAAGGCCGAAAGTAGGGAGCACCCAGTGAGGATCGAACTCACTACACAGTCGTAATTGTTCTAGCGAGACAACCTTGCTAACCATTACACCGCCTCTAGGTGTCCAATGATTTTGCAAACGCAACTTAGATGTGGCACAAGGCCGAAAGTAGTGGGCACCCAGTGAGGATCCAACTCACTACTCCGTCGCAATTGTTCTAGCGAGACAACCTTGCTAACCATTACACCGCCTCGAGGTGTCCAATGATTTTGCAAACGTACCTCAGATGTGGCACAAGGCCGAAAGTAGGGAGCACTCAGTGAGGATCGAACTCACTACACAGTCGGAATTGTTCTAACGAGACAACCGTCTCGAGGTGCCCATGCCGCTATTACTCTAGTCTACCATAATATTTCTAGTTTTGTGTGTGGTCTACTACAATACGAATAACATTTGAAATGGACCTCCAATCGGTTGTTAACTGGGGCAAGAACTGGCTGGTCAACTTTAACGCCTCAAAAACTAAACTACTCTCTATTAATCACCATAAAGATCCTTCCCTGCCCCCCATTAGAATGTCTGATAGTCAACTTCTTGAGAGCAACTCTCTGCGTCTGCTCGGTCTCACGTTGACTGCTGACCTGAGATGGAACAAATAGATTGAGTCAATTGCATCGTCCACCGCGAGGAAAGTTGGCTCTCTGTGCCGCGCCAGGAAAATTTTTTCCCCGGAATCGATACTTCAAATATACAAATCAACCATTCGCCCTTGCATGGAGTATTGCTGCCATATATGGTCTGGGGCACCTTCTGTTTACCTCGTAGTTCTTGACAAGATCCAGAGACGGATATGTAATATAATTGGTCCTGATCTGGCATCTCGTCTGCAGTCACTCTCTCACAGACGCGCCGTCGCCTTTTCTACAAATACTTTCATGCTAATTGCTCCGATGAGCTGCTTTCACTGGTTCCCAGACTCCATGAATTCAAGCGCCCTACGAGGCTGGCATCCCGCTCTCACCCTTTCACTGTAGAAACTTTTAAATGTAGCCGTCTCTTCTACTCCAATAGCTTCATACCTCGCACCTCTCACCTGTGGAACACCCTTCCCTATTCCAGTTTCCCTGAGAGCTATAATCTCCAACTATTCAAATGTAATGTCAATCGACATTTCCAGTTACCTTGATCTATCCACTATCCCTCTCCCCATCCTTTCTTCTATCACTCCTATCTGCTCTCGCTCCAAATCTTCTGCAACCCCCTGCATCCTAGTGGCTTCACGCCTTGCTCGGGGCGTAATGCTTTAAAAAAAAATAAAAATAAAAGTTAGCCCGAAAAGACGCAATGAGTCTCTCTCCGGGAGATGATCATATCTGATGATAGCCTGCAGAAAAGTGACTCATAGCGCTTTTTCGGATTAAAGTTTTCCGCTGACAAAAAACTAGAAGGATTATATTGAATCAGTTGCTAGCTCTGAGTTGATTCAATGTGTCGTGTTAGACAATTTTTATTCGCAAGAATCTGTCTTACATATTTATAAGTCTACTAATTGAACATGCATTGAATATTGCTGACACATGGCCTAGTGCTTCAACAACGTATTTAGAGATTCTAGATAAAATAAAAGAATCTGCAATCTTATTGGTCCTGACCTGGCATCACAGCTTTAATCGCTTTCCCACAACTGTAACATAGCTTCCCTTTGCCTTTTTTTTTATAAGTGTTATCCTAGTAATTGTTCTGATGAACTTTCTTCATTGGTACATAGATTTTATGACTGGATGCACGGTACTAGATTGGCGGTAAGATCTCGTCATTTTACACTTGCAATGTAGCCATAAGTTCTGGGCTAACAGTTTCTTTTCTCACACTTCTTGCTTGTGGAACTCTCTTCCTGCTTCTTGCTTCCAGCTCAAGTTTGATCTTCAAAAATTTAAATGCAATGTCAATCGTTATTTTCTCTCTTCTTTTCTTTTTTCTCGTTCCCTAGTAATGGTTTTGGCTTACGGCAGCATCACGTTGAAACACCGGTTCTCGTTCGATCACCAAAGTTAAGCAACGTCGAGCCTGGTCAGTACCTCGATGGGTGACCGCTTGGATGTTTGGTGTGGTGTAATTGATAACGGCTCGGGATGAGAACTTGGGGATATGATTTTCATTCGGGTTCTTTATATTCACTTACACTCAAATAGCCTTGAGATTAGTATTAATCCACCTCTTCTGTCCCCGGGTAGGGGGTTAATTAGTAGGATTTCTGTCAGTAAATCATTATTATCTCAAAAAAATTCTTTCAATCTAAAAATATTATCTGGCTTTAAATAACCCACAGAAGACTATAAAAACAAAGCATCAGTCAATCTACAAGTAAACGTAAATAATTGCTTTTTGGAATAAGTTGTCTCCCATTACGCAATATATCCATCTTTATAAAAAATGAAAAAGTCGGAATGCTTTTCGAACTCCAAATTTATTCTCAGAGTTAACTTCCGAAGCGTTTCTCCCTGATTGCTTACGGTCGGAAGCCAATGGAGATTTGAAGTCAGACCTTTTCTTCTCTTAGAGGGACTATTAACGAGTTCCATCCTTCCTATTTTAACACTACTTCTCCCGTTATATGATGCATTTATCTGTTCAAAATTGATTTTCCTTCTCGTTTAACTGAAAACATCCGAATATTTGTCTTAGATTGGAAAGCTTATCTACATCTATAATTCTGAAAATGTGTGTGTGTGTGTGTTATAGTGGAACACACCTATTCTATAGTTAATAGACTCTCTCACCTATAATAAGTAGGAATAGTAGCAGTCGCTGAGTCGCTCAGTCAGTCGATGTCGGACGACCGTTAGTCGGACATTAAAGTATCAGCCACCACAACTAGATTACTGCGTCATTACCTATTATATCACGTTCCTAATATTTTGTACGTCGAACCTATTTTAGGACCGACTTAATACAAATACAAGCCTCCACTGTGATACCACTACATAACAGTGTGTTAGTTATCGGATGTTGCTTATGCGTTTCCACAGTTTTCATCCGATGAAATTTTTTTGTTTGATAGATAATTCTTCGGTAATGGTTTTCATTTCAAATTGGCGAGAAAAAATTACAACATTGAAAGTGAAAAATCGAAAGAAACTGAATTTTTACACTTTGTGCAAAAATCAAAGGCAAAATTTAATGTCTGTAAAAAATGGCGTACAATCAATTTAGAGAGTTGAAATCTAACACAAAAGATTATTAGAATTATGAAAAAAAATATATTATAAATAAAAATTATCGTATATTATTATTATGACGGTCCATGGAAGAGGTTCCTTCCTTGCAAGATTGAGAACGCAGGCCCCCTTCAAATTGCACACAATTGTTGTTACTAATATTGATTTTCGGGTGAGCTGACTTTAAACTTAAACTGCTCCAACTGAACGGCAAAAATTCCCAGTCATGAAACACCCGGTCGAAGCCGGGTTATACTGCTAGTTCTGAATATGTCCGTTAAAATGCAAGGTTTCATTATTGTTTAAAAGAAAATGTCTTACACAGCTATCTATTTCTCTCTCTCTCTCGCTCTCTTTCTTTCTTTCTTTCTCTCTCTCTCTCTCTCTCTCTCTCTATATATATATATATATATATATATATATATAAAATTGTGTGTTTTGCAGCAAGCCCTCTTTTATACAAGTTTACTTGAAAACGATTGACAAGCTACTGCTACTAAGCTTTTTATTAATTTTTTTTCTTGCATTCGTACAAGAATTTTATTTTCTGGACATCGTCTTCTTCTATATGGCGTGTCCCTTCAGGACGTTAACGAGCATGGCTCCCCACAGTTTCCCGTCTTTGTAGCTCTTAATATCTTCTGTCTTTTTACCACCTCTCCCAAACCTTGCCCTACCATTATTCGTTCAAGATCACCAAGTAAGTTTTCTGGACATAGAATCTGTAAAAATTGGGTACAAGTAAATTTTATCTTACATACGTACAAGTATTTTCTTTTCTGAACTTAAAGTATATAAATTTATTTTAATTTCAGAAAAGAAAATACTTAAATGAATGCAAGAAAAATTTAATAAAAAAAGCTTAGTTACAGTACCCTATCAGTCGTTTTCAATTATATATATATATATATATATATATATATATATATATATATATATATATATATATATTTATATATATATTTCGATTATAGGTGCAGTTTAATTTATGAATTTAATTTATGAAAACATGAATCATTCATACAAAAAACAAATATAGAAGTTAATGATTTAAATGGCGAGAATACATCTTCGCAAACAATTTCAATAAGATACACTAACCCCGAACCTGTATATGAATGATGTGATCCCTGTTTATAAATTCCAGTTTCATAAGGTCTTTTCTAGTTTTTACAAGCTTTCGTCTTGATATTTTATTTGATTTGTTTGCGACGAATTTTTTGTACGATAACAATTTTTATAACTTGGAAATAAATTTGGGAATAATCGAAATTAATCGTGAAATCCAGCGAAAGTCACGCATGGAATAAAAATAATTGTTTGTACGGAAAGTAAGGACCTACGTACAACAAATTGTCTTTAAATTAAGTGGCGTCAGAAAGATTATTGTTGAACTTTTAAAAAGGTAAGCTTAAATATTAATGCAATACTTAAATGCAGCGATCAATTTTGAGTTCTTCTGTAATTTATTGTTTCCTATCGCATCTTCTCCTCCCTACTTATTGTGATGAAGGCTTTTAAATTAGTATATACATAATGAATATTCAAATATATATATATATATGTGTGTGTGTGTGTGTGTGCGTGCGTGTGTGCGCATCTCTCTGTCTCTGTCTTTCTGTCCGTCTGTCTGTCTCTCTCTCTCCCCCTTTCTCTCTCCCTCATTTCTTGTTAACAGTTAATATATTTCAACCTTGAAAGGAGCTAAATGTATAGCCGAAAACGCTGGGATTAAAAGAACAACTGGACAGTTTTATATAATTTATCATCCGAAAAGGAAAATTTATTAGATCACATGAGAAATTGTATATATATACATACATATATATATATATATATATATATATATATATATATATATATATATATAGAGAGAGAGAGAGAGAGAGAGAGAGAGAGGATATATATATATATATATATATATATATATATATATAGAGAGAGAGAGAGAGAGAGAGGAGGGTATATATATATATATATATATATATATATATATATATATATATATATATATATATCTGTCCTATCGCTTTTAACATCGCATATTCAAAAGCGTTTGATAAAGTAATTAACAAAGAACTTTTGGAACTGCTAAGTGACCTTGTCAAATTAGAATAACCCAGAATCTATACTTGGATTACACCACCTGCATACAGATAGAAAATTAATTCAGTAAATATACAAAAATAGAAAGGAGTGTAAGACAAGGATATGTCTTTACACCGAACTTATTCAACCTATACAGTGAAACTATTATGACAGAATTAGATTTTTTAATGAAATTTACCCCAAACATGGCAGTAAAGCCATTAAGACACGGGGTGTTACTGGTTGTGAAAGAATTACAATACAGAAACAATATTAAGGAGTGATGATAATAGAAGAGTAACCAGGACGATAGTAGGTAACGATTGACATTGCATTTAAATTTTTCAAGATCAAAATTGGCTGGGAAGCATGAAGCCGTAAGTGAGTTCCACAAACAAGAAGTGCGAGAAAAGAAAACTGTTAAACATTTGAATTGTAAATTAATGAGATGTTGTTGTTAATCTAGTACCGCGTTTAAATTCATAAAGTCTAGGTACCATAACGAAGAGCTTATCCGAACAATTACCATGAAAGTATTTATGGAAAAAGCTTAGGAAAGCAACTTAACGGCGGTGAGAAAGTGACTGGAGCCGAGACACCAGGTCAGGACCAATAATATTGCTGATTTTTCTTTGGATTTTATCAAGGAGCTCTAAGTACACGGGATCATATGTGGCAGCAATATTCTAAGATTCAGGGAGATTGGAAGACTTATAGGTATGTAAGATAAAAAAAATTGTCTAGCACGACACAGTAAAACAACTTTCCTATCAGCTGACCCAGCAATGGATTCAATGTAGTATTTCCACTTCATGTCAACCGAGAAGACACAACTTGTCACACGTTGATGGAAGGCAGAAGAAGGTCTCTCAGATGATTAATAGAGAGCAGTTTTGTTTTAGAGGCATTAAAATTAACAAGCCATTGTTTGTACCAGTTAACAACAGACTGTAGGTCGTTTTTTTTTTCGATCAACAGCCGATTGGACCATATCGATCTGATCAGACTTACTATCGGGACAGATGTAAATGGTTTTGTTTTCAGCATAGATGCCAAGTTGAGAGCTGATAGTTCTACCATCATTCATTATTGGCGGCCACAATCTTAACAGCATATGATACAGTGTTGATAGCAGGAATAGGAAGGAAACTACTAGAACCCCTACAGAATGTAGTGAAAGAAAAACGAAAATATGAGGACTAAACATTTATTGCAAGAAGACTAAATGTATGGTTGTTAGCAAAAGCAACAGCTCAACATGCAAATTACGAAATAAAGATACCAAAATCAAGTAAGTACAACAATCTAGATACCTGGGAAGTGTTTCAACAGAGGCCGGAAAGTGTGACACCGAAATCCGAAGGCGCATTGGAATAAGGAAAGATGCCTTTCAAAATATAAGCAAAGTATTAAACAGAAATTTAAATTTTTAAAAAAAGGACTGCAATATTACTTATTATTTCTTTTCTCTCACTTGTTTGTGAAATTCTATTACGGCTCCATGCTTCCTAGCCAATTTTGATCTTGAAAAATTTAAATGCAATGTCAATCTTTATCTTCCTGGTTACTCTTCTATTGCCCTCACTCCTTAATATTGTTTCTGTTTTCTAATTCTTTCACATCCAGTAACCCCATGCATCGTAATGGCTTTACAGCCTGATATTGGGTTAATTCGATTAAAAAAAATAATTATCTCATAATAGACTCACTGTATAAGTAAAAGGCAATATTAAACATGAGAAAGTGTTATTTGGGTAAGTTGATTTATCTGTGTTGTTCATTTCTGGAGCTGCTC